ACTCAGCAAGGGAATGCCGTCGACCCTGTGACACCACACATGAGTTTGGGAAGTGACCCGAGACAGCAGCAGCAGCAAAAGCAACAGCTCCCTTGCGACAAAGAACCGAGGAGCCCACGTGCTTTGCGACTTGCAGGCTCGGTCCGCCTGGCAAAGCCGCCTTGAGAACGCCTACCGTGTGTCCACACCGAGCGCAGTTCACGAACTGAGAGCCGGCACCCTTCCCGATGGTGGTGGACACGTGGCAGTGCGGCGTTCGTGCACAGTACACCACGCGCGCGTGTGTGTGTGGTAGGGTGGGGTGGGGGGAACGGCGGCATGATGGTTAGCGCGCTGCGCTACGAAACTGGCGACGCGATTCCCGCTCACGACAAATAACAGCAGGCGAAAATTTGCACCGGTCCTGGGTCTCCTCCCCTAGGTCGACTCGGCCTCAAATGGGTACCTGGTGTGGTGTGTAAACAACACCAATGGGGAGATAAAGGTGGGCGGGCGTGGCCACCCGGCCCCCTCGTGTGCCGTGCCGGCCTTCATTCGGTGCTCGCTAACAGCACCTGCCCTAATAGTCCGTAAAGGCTACACGGGGGATCTTTGTCTTTGTTGTTGGGGCTGGTCCGGTAACTTGCACGCCGCCATCGGGATGTTTGCACATCGTGAATGAGCGCCAAGCGTCGAGTCGCTCGTTCCCACTTGGCTTCCCTTCGTCCACCCACGAACGCGGTGCACTCAAATCCTGAACCCAGTGACCCCCGTCATTGATTCCCGGCCACGGCTAACACATCGGTGGCGGGTACGGTACGTGAAGCAGCCCCGAGGCTCTCCCCTTCACCCGTACCCCGAAGTGACCGTCACGGTGAAGTATGGTGGAAAGAAATCACTCCATCTGAAATGTATAAAAAATATATATGTAGTGCGAGCATTTGTTATGGTGATGTATCCACATGCGTATATTGAACGAGATATTTTAATGTATTCGACTGCTTTTCCAAGCCCTTTTAACTCAAATAAACGGCGAAGGTCTGGAATGCTATTGCCAATAAACTGCAACTTGAATCGCTACCAATGAGACTGCTCTAGAGGAGTTGTACACCCCTAGCTGCCACTGCTATTCATTGGGGTAAAATAAAATGTTTCGCTCCGGATGACGCTGCAAAGTATTATCTGTGTTTTGATTTAGCGTGCTGATCTTAAAGGTGCATTGAAAAATTTGATACTCCGACTGATGCTTGTTGTTGTGGAGTAACTCATACAGCCAGCTATGGCTCTAGGATTTGGTGTTACATGTTATTTATGTAGTTTATTGCAAAAATTCGGTCACAGTCCCTGTGATCACTGTTACGCTGCAATTATGGCTTTACTTTTTGGTGATTTCGAAAAGTTTTTTGGTTTGGACATGTTTGTTTTGTTGTAGTACGGAGTAAGACTGAAGGCCTTAATCTAAGTTTTCTTGTGGTTGTTGTTGTTTGAGTTGCATCCCACTGAGATTTTTTGCACACAGCGTTGGTGTACGGTGCTTTTTTCAGGAATATTTTGCTGTGTTTTTTCATGGATTTTCTGTTTGCACAGTCACATAGTCACTTTAAGATGTTTTTCTTGTTCGTGTTTTTGTTTGTTGTGGTTGCACCCGATTCAAGAACCGAATGACTCACAGGGCTATACCAAAATAAATAAACTGAAAACTGAAACTGATCATGAACTATTAAACAGCATTTTTTAGAGGAAAAAAATATAATAATTATTATTTAAGTTTAAAATATAATTGGAAACCCAGTGTGTGGTGTTAAAGTCCAGCACGTGGGGAAATGAAGATGCAATCGTTACCAGTGCTGCCCGATGCGGATAATACATTCCTACAGACTTAAACAAAGGAAGAAAAACCACGCGTACGCATCACCCATTGCGTACGCGTGGTAGCGCGTTTGCTGCTTGTTGCAGAGGGTTCGCGGTTCGAATCCAGCGGCCGCCTGGTTATTAATGTGGTCCGAGGAATAATAATAATACTACGCCATACCGTCTGCTTCACTCACAGCGGACGTTAAAGATTCCGTGACATCATACGCAAAGATCATGTTGCCAGGGTCCAAATTTTCCCACATTGGAAAATTACAAAAATCACTAATTTACGCAAACTACTCAAATTGGGACTATACACAGCAGCAGCAGCAACGGCAATCACCCCCCCCCCCCCACCATTGGCAGCAGACTCATGACCCGGTTCATTCTTGTAAGTGAGACTTCTATCCTGGCCTCTCGCGTTCTCTCTCACCTCGTTAAACGAAACAACCGTGAAGCCAAAGCATTCATCTTCATTCGGGATTTCAAACAGTGACTGTAGACCGGCAGCAGTCGCGCAGGAGACTAAACCATTTCTAAAATATATATACCAGGTGTAAGGCCACACTGGCCATCACAAATGATAGGTCAACGAAGTGGCTCATCGTATGGAAATTTATAGCAGTTAAATACTCTAAGCGCATGTTTCTAGATGTGGAGGGAGAAACAGGAGGACTCGGAGACAAAGTCAGAGAGAGACAAGCGAACACCAAATAGACAACAGGCGTCACGGGGTCGGGATCGAACTCACGACCTCCTGTATACCAGGCGAGGCAGATAACATCTCCGAGCCACCGTGGCGCCTGGCGAGTTCGTAGGCCGCGATGAGGCCAGGCTCGCACAGCGGCTCTGCTGGGGAGGGCGCGGGAAGCTCATCGGTCAGCGTGGCTGCCGCCTTCCTAGAGGGCAAGTCTCCTGATAGCAACACGACTCTGCACACGGACGAACGAGAGCCAACAATGGATTTGGCGTAGAGTTAAACACTTTAGACAGTATAAATAAGTTGCAGCGCCTTGTCAGTCCGCTGCTGGCCGAAGGCCGGCTCGTGCCATTATCAAGTCATGGGGGTTGCACGGCCAACAAAGAATGTATGCATGTTGAACTTCTTCTGCACGGTACGTTGCTAACTGTGCTTATCGGAGGTGCGGGGGGGGGGGAAGGAGGACAACGAGCTATACACAAAAATCAGTTCGAAAAAAATGAGTGTCAATCTATAGGATTTAAAAGCGCATAGCTCCAGTGGCTTCCTAATATCGGAAGGGAGAGCGTTCCAGACGGCCACAGAAGCGCATCTGAAAGCGCGCGATATGCGGCGACCACCGTGTTTGTTCGACGGCCAGCCAAAAGCCGCCGCCGCTAATGCGAGGACGACCGGAGTTCGCGCGATGATGGATTTGTGCTCCTCGACGAGCTCCATAGAGGTCTTCAGCTTGTGGATATACACGCACGTTTAAACACGCGGAGACAACGCTCTAACACGGAGGTTTGCACAGCCCGCAGAGTATTACGATGTTTTCTCATGGGCGTCTGGGTTCAGGCCCCCCCCTCCCCCTATGATCCGACCAAATTTCTCACAAGACCTTCCACCACCACCACCAGACATGTCGTCACACGTGTACAGGCGTTTAAAAGGCGCCAATTTTAAATGGTTATGACATCTTGTTTTCTTCGGTTCACCGGTGGCTGCGAGCCACCAGCGTGCCGACGAAAACAAAAATAATTTGGCTCATGAAATGCGTTTGCACGTGGCTATTTCACGCGTTTGGCCGTCGGGTGGTGGTGGTGGAGGGGGTGCTTTACGACAACATTTTGTCGGATTAATACGTGGGATTAATCCAAATATCGATTCTGAATTATAGGTAGACTGTTGGGGCGGGGAGAATAAAAAATGAGTGTCAACCCCCTCCCCCCCTCCAGCTTTTCACGAATTTACAAATCTAGCTTTCGTGGTTGCTACGTTAAAATCCGAAGGGGGGGGGGGGACATCTCTGATCTGGCAACACTGGTTCCTGTGCACCGAGTGAAGAAGCCAGGATGGCCAACGATCACATGATTTGCATGTGAAAATTCTAACACTAACAATCGCACGCCTACAACCCCCACGTTACCAGATATTTGCTGATGATGTGATAAGGTGTCTTATTCTCATTGCGCGATTTGCCTGGTTATTTTAAGGTATGCGAACCGCAGTGAACAGACTGCTATATGGGGAGCGGTGGCCGTAGCGATTAGCGCGCTGCGCTTCGAACCCGGCAGCCCGAGTTCGATTTCCCGCTCGTGGCCAACACCGGTGACCATTATCTGAACCGGTCCTGGGCCTCATTCCCTAGGTCGACTCAGCCTGGTGCGATGTGTAAACATCGCCGCTGGGGAGACAGAGGCGTGGTGCTGGCCACCTACCCCCTCGTGTGCAGTGCCGGCCTTCATAGCGAACAGCACTTGTCCCAACAGTCCGTTACAGACTATACGGGGTGGGGGTGGGGGGGTGGGAGAGTCTGTCTTTATTTGGTTACATTACTGACCATGATTACAGGAGATAGTGTACCTCGATGATCACGTGGTTAAAGCAAGGACATCACGAGAGATAACGTATCGAAACTTGACTATCACCTGGTTAATATAATGACAATTCTTTACCACTCCTGCACTTCACACTCATGTCGTGTTTTTGTAACCGTTTGTTGCTGTGACGTTCCGACCCCACGCCCCCCGACTGTGAAAGAAAGCTTTACAAGCTCATCGGAGATTCCTCCCGCAGTATAAATAAATATTCTGATTCTGACATCAAGCCAAATAGATCATGTATCTCGATGGGGCTCTCACCTGGTTCATTTCAGGACATCAATCACACGAGAATAACACCCTTCAATGGACTCCCATACGGTTGAACGCACATCAATCACATAGAATGATTAATCTCAAATGGGGCTCTCACCTCAAAGGAACGGCAAATCACAAGATACAATGAATGTCTACGGGTCATCAGCCTCGTTAGATTCAGGGGCACCCTGATGACGAAATATTAATACCTCGCCTGGTAAACAGGAAGTCGTGGGTTCGATCCTGACCCTGCCGCCGATGTATATTTGAAGTATGCATGTTCTCCCCGTGGTCGTGGACGATTATTCTCCGAGTCCTCCGGTTTTTTTCAAGGAGTATTTGGCTACTATAAATTTCCACAGAACAAGCGCCACTTTGTTGAGCTATCATTTGTGGCCTGGTCGCCTCTGAAAAAAAAAAAGAGCCATATAGCTCAGTGGGCCTTACCTGATAAAATAAAAAAAATAACTTGTAGTTTATAAGGGTGCAGTGTAAAAATCTATAGCCTCGAAGGGGCAGGAACAGTGGTTGCTTGGTCCCAGAAGTGCATGCCATTGGAGAGACCTGCGGAGAATCCTGCCACCTGTGCGCCAATTATTGCCCTGCGGCAGTTTGACCAACGGAAGGAATCACCTACCCTCACTGTGGGCGCGCGCCTACGTGGACATCACTAGGCACACGGTGTGCCTGGCGATGCCTATCGCGCGTAATTGTTTCCAAACGTTAGAGTGCTCCCTTCTCAAGTAAGCAGGGGGTGGGGGCGGTGGTAATCATCATTGGCCATCTACCAATGCGGGAAAAATTCCACATTACAATGGCAAGGGCCAGTCTCTCCACTGCACCGAAGCGCTTGTTCCACCAGAATAAAGCATCAAATAAAACAACGCTGCGTTTGGAACAGTTTGGTCCAATTGACGCGCGCGATCCCCCGTTAAGTGCATTTCAACATATCCTTAGGCGCCGAAATTCAACGAGTTAGACGAAACACTTCGCAACAAACGCATTTATACTCGGTGCCGAGTGCAGAGTCTCAGGGCGACGAAAGCCCCAGAGCACGACGGGAGCTTCCCCCAGGCAGAGTTGTCAAAATGAGAGAACGCTGTCATCAGGTGAAACCCGCCAAGGACGTCGTGCAAAAACAGAAAACAAAAGAAACTGCCACAAGGGATTCAAAACAAACAAGCCCAACCGCCCCCCAGCGGTGTCGCTCGACGTGGGGACGCGTCCGCGCCTCCCAAGCATCTTCGACGGAGGAGCTCATCGTGCGTCCCACGTGGCGACGGGCTGGGCGATGGATCGGGGTGCGGGCGAAGGACTCGGGGACCGGCGGATTTCACACGAAGCGGCGCGCGGGGGGATCCCGGGCTTCCGTGCGGACGCACGGGGGCCGGGGGGAGGGGGGGGGGGAGGGGTTCGTCGGCCTTCGGTCAGCGCGCGACGACGCCGGCAGCGGCATCGTCACACCGAGAAGTAGACGTAGAGGAACACCCCCACCGAGCAGATGAGGCAGAGGCCCACGTTGAGCACGGCCTTGTCCACCGGTCGCTCCTCCAGCAGCCGCAGCCTCTGCGCCAGATCCTCGCCGAGCAGCCCCATCGAGGGCTTCCCCGGCGCGCCTTCGCTGCCCGCCTCGTCCGGGTCCCTCCCCGTGCCGCACAGCCAGTTGACGGCCTTCAGGAGGCCCCTCCGCACCTTCTCGCAGCGGCCCGAGCTGTCACGGGCGCCGCCGGCCCGCCGCGACCGCTTGCCGCTGAGCGGCCACTCCTCGTCCACCGCCGCGGCGCCGCCGTGGCCGGGGGTCTCGGCGGCGCCGTCAGGCGTCGGCGTCGGTGCCGGCGCCGACTGGTGGCGGCCGTTCTCCGTCACGACGACGACGACGACCGGCGGCCGGCTTCCGTCATCGCCGCGGTCGTCCGCCGAGGCGCAAGTGGGAGCGGCCGCCCGCTCGCCCCCTTTTCGCACGAGATTGAGCGTCTCGGCGCAAGTGACCCCGTTGCCCAACGCCCGTTTCCGCTTCTTGCCGTCGCCGTCGCCGTCGTCGTCGTCGTCGTCGTCGGCGGAGGAGGAGGGCGAGGAGGAGGCCGGCGGGTCCGAGTACGTCCAGAAGGTCGTGTTGGCCACGCACTCCCTGGACGGTGGGTCGGACAGCAGGCTGGCGACGATGCCCACCGCCACAGTGGTCCAGAAGAGCGCAGCCGCCGTGTACATGTAGTGGATGTCCCGGACGATGAACGGGCGGTCGTCGTGGGGCTGCGTGCAGTCGGGCGGCGGATAGATGAACGCGAGCAGCAGGCGCGCGAAGCCCAGCGTGGAGCCCACCAGGCCTCCGCAGAAGGCGCCCTTCTCGTTACAGCGCTTCCAAAAGACGCCGAGCAGGAATATCGCGGCGACGGGCGGCGTCAGGTACCCGGCCATCTCCTGGATGTAGAGGAACATCTGCCCGCCCTGCATGGACACCACCACGGGCACCCACGCCACGCTCACCGCCATCATCACCACGACCCAGAGGCGGCCGACGATCATGAGCTCCCGCGAGGAGACGCGCGTCACTCCGCGCGCGTGCCGGTAGATGTCCAGAGTGAAGATGCTGCTCGCACTGTTGAAGATCGAGTCCAGGTCGCTCATGAGCGCCGCCACGATCACGGCCATCATGAGGCCCCGCAGGCCCGTGGGCATCACGGCGAGCACGAGGCGCGGGTACGCGACGTTGGAGCAGCCCGCCGGGTTGCCACACACAGCGGTGCAGTGCTCGGGCGACACGCACGCCAGCTCGTCGGGCATGAGGATGCGCGCGATCATGCCCGGCACCACGATAGCGAACATGGGCAGGATCTTGAGCGCGCCGGCGAGCAGCGTCGCCCCCTTGGCGTTGGAGTGGTCGCGGGCCGCCAGCATGCGCTGCACGATCACCTGCAGGGCCCCCAGATCACATGAACTGTAGACTCGCATAGAGACACAGAGGCCGGTTTACACTTACGCGGGCCGTATACTCAGTAGCCAATCACATTGCTTGCTCACACTGTTGAGAGAGATGAGTAGCCAATCACAGTGCTCTCTTGCACTAGACAGAGGCATCAGTAGCTAATCATAACGATCTTTCGCACTGTATAGAAACATCAGTAGCCAATCAGTGCTCTCTCGCACTGTATAGCGGCATCGCAAGGTCCATCCGGAAACCCGGATTCTAACCATGGCTCTCGGTGGCAAAGGTGGGGGGGTGGAGGTGGGCGCGGGGAGGGGGGTAGGCAGGAGAACACCGTTGGGAGAATCTCACCTGGTCCGTACACCAGTACCAGATGGAGGCCGGCGTCTGGCCCAGCAGAAAGCCGGGCCACGGCGTCTCGCTGTCGAAGGGTCCCCGCAGCACCTTCAGCGAGTTGGCGTGCGGCCGGGCGATGGCCGCCTCGCACAAGGGGCCCGCCGACAGGTTATAGGCGGCGCGGATGGCCGTAACGTTGGGCACGGCCTCCATGTAGCCGCTCCACACATTCTGCAGGCCGCCCACCTGCGTGGCGAGCGGTGGTGGGGGGGGGGGGGAAGAGACCGGGATGAGCGATGAGAGAGGGTGAGCGGCGAAAGGAGTGGGCGAGAGGGGGGCGAGGGAGAGAGCGCAGAGGCGAGGGGCTAAAGATTGAGTGCGGGGCGGGGGGGATTAGTGGGCGAGGGGTTGACAGGTTGAGCGGCGCGACGATGAGACGGGGTGAGCGGCGGGAGCGAGAGGTCAGAGGGCAGCCCGTCTGGACGCGTCTGCTGTCTGGCTTCGTCGGCTGTGTGTATGATAGCAGGGGTACGTGATTGCCAGTAGGGACTGCCATCTCGGCACGATCGCACCGTTGACTTAATTATTGCAGCTGTGTCCACACAGCAGCACGATAAACAAGACCAAAAGCTACAGCGGTGTCGTAATCTATATCAGCAACGCTACGCGGTCAGCGTTTCTCGAGACGTTTAGGCCCGCGGGCCATTCAGTCGATGGAAACATTTCCACGCACCCATCCTGCCACCCCTACACTGCCGGTGGCAAAACGCATTCAACCGCTCTCTCTGAATGCCAGTATGACAAAATTATTCATATTGCTGAAACACATGAACTTTTTTTTTAAGCAGCTATAAGTTGTTTTTTTCTTCTAGGGATGGGGTTAGGGTACTTTAATCCGGGTAGTTTACCTTACTTCATGTTCTCCATTAAATATCATAAGTACTATGATTATTTCCGGATCAGCGGTGGGGCCGGGGCACCTCCCCGGTGGCACCAGCATTGAGTCCGATCTGCGACGCACGCGTGCGCTTCAATTAACAAATGAACCTGGTCGAACGATCGCCAACGTAGCCGCCATCGCTCGTCGCGCGGGACGTTGACGAACCTTGACGAGGCCGAGCACCATGAGCGTGAGGGCTCCGCCAACCATGAGCGCCGCCTGCAGCGTGTCGGTGTAGATGACAGCGGCGAGCCCCCCGGCCATCGTGAGCAGCGCCGTGGCGCCGATGAGCGACACGATGGACACGTAGAGGTCCCAGCCGAGGGACTGCTGGATGAAGACTGCGCCCGCGTACAGGTCCACCGACACCTTGGTGAGCACGTAGAGCAGCAGCGACAGCACCACCAGGTAGACGCGTAGGCGCCGCCCGCCGAAGCGCCGTGCCAGGTAGCCGGGCATGGTGCACACGCCTGCATAGGACAGGGTGCAAAAGTAGAACCCCACTCTCCTCTTTAACGACAGTACAATTGTTTTAAAGCTTTCGTGACTGCAGTAATTCATATTCTTAGCTCTTTCGGTAAAGTCACGTTGAAGGGAAACAATAAAATAATAAAATATATATAAAACAATTAAAATTATCACGACGTTTCGACCAGAACACAAACGGTCGTCATCAGGTGTTATGGTCGAAACGTCGTGAGAATTTTTATTGTTTTATATATTTTTTATTGTTTTATTGTTTCCCTTCAACGTGACTTTACCGAAAGAGCTAAGAATATGACAGTACAATTGGTTCCACGAAATCGGTCGTTTAGCGATTTGGTCGCAAAGCGTGTATAGGAAATACACACATTAAAGGCTCAATTCGTTCCGATAGTATCGAAAGTTACCCTTTTTCACCCAAATGTGGAGGGAAAAATCAGAGGACCCAGAGGAAAATCCACGTGGCCACGGGGAGAGTCACGCAAACTCCAAATATACTCAACTAGTTTTTATGTTACAGGTAAGGCCAACTGAGCTATGTAGCTCTTTGTCAGAAGCGATCTGGCTATCACAAAACCACGTGCAATTTTTTTTTTTATTTAATTTAAAGCAAAGGTTGGGGCGGGTGCGTGCATATTCTGATAGACGTGTGTGTGTGTGCGCGTTCATGAACCAGATTCGGTATAACTTGATTGATACGGGGCAAAAGTTTGGGGAGCGCCTTACTCTTCCGAGCGTCTGGAGAATATGATGAATTGGCATCTTATTTGAATCCACCTGTCATAAAAAAAACATTTTCTTACGGAATTCTTAAATCTGTTCCTTAATCAAATGTTCAATTACATCTGTGTTTCTCTAAATCGCAAATTCGTGTACATTTTAGGGCCCATATTTCGCCGAAAAATTTACTTTCAGTCTCAACAGGCTCTTGGCACCATCAGCCATAATCAAATCCACTGCTGGTCTCAATCCCCCCCCCCCCCGACATGGTCAAATGATGCAAAAATCCATCTTGCTCCAGCACACGAGAAATCTCATCGCTCCATCTCCTCTTCGGTGGTTACGTGTACTCGGCTGTCTTCCCTTCTCCGTCTACCTTTCCGTGGCTGGTCTCAACCACGAGCCATCGTCCCTTCAAGCCGTGGATGCATCTTTTCCCGGGCCGCTAAATTTTCCTAACAATTTGGAAAGTGTCATTATCCCGCGTATGTTCTCCGATACACGTGGTTCCTCCTTCATTCTTTCGATGCAATTCAGTTTTAAAATAACCTCTCCACGCTACTCTGTTCACTTTTCAGAGTTTGTTCCGAACCCTTTTAGTCAATTTCCACTTTTCGGATCCATCCGTGGCAGCAGGCGATTCACGCACGGATTGAAAACGCTTTTCCTCTTCGGCTACGGCGACACGTTGCTATCCGCTGGTCTCCAGTAAAGGCCACTGCCGATGTGTCCCCGTGTTTTTACGACATTGTGGACTTGTATTTCTTTTTCATTTCGGGTGGTTTCGCGTTGTGGCCGGTAGCACGGGAGTGCCAGCGCGTGCGGTTCGCGTTACCTCACGCCGTGTAATGTTCCGAGCCGCGCGCTCCGTCGACGGCTTTCCGCGTTATCAATAAATCAACAAACAAATTCATGAACCAGGTTTCGGTGTCGGCCCCAACTCCTTTCTTCAGCCAATGAATTTATGAACCAGCGGCTAAGCTTTCATGTGCAGGCGGTGCAAGTTCACTAGGGCCTGAACTAAAAACTAAACTCTTTTTATTTTACTAAATAAGGCCCACTGATCTATACAGCTCTTTTTTCCTATTAAGCGACCTGGCGCACAAGTGATGGCTCAAAGAAGTGGCTTATCGCGTGGAAATTTATAGCAGCCAAATAATCGAAACACATGTCGATTCTAAACGTGGGTTGGGAAGAAAAAAAAGCTAGAAGACCCGGAGAAAAATCCACGCGAGCACGGGCAGAACACGCAAACTCCAAATATACAGCAGGTGCCAGGGACGGGATCGAATCCACAACCTCCTGCATACCAGGAGAGGGAGTTAACATCTCGCCACCGCGGCGCCCTATTGGCTGTTGCAGGGGGCCCAGCCGCTAGGCTAGTAGAGAGAGGGGAAGGACGTCGGGGGGGCGGAGCGTTGGCGGTTGGCTGCGCGGCCTTTAAGTGGTGGCTTTGGGCGCTGAAAGCATTGGGTGGCTGGGTGGGTGAGGTTGCCACCACCTTTTCCACTGCAGACCAAAAAACCCAGACATTTTTCCTCAGGTCAACACAACTGTGCAGTCTACGGCAATAAAAATTCAACAACACCAGATCTCAGTTACAAACCAATTCTCGCCGCCCGAACAGAGATGCCAATTCCCAGACTGTCCGGGTCAAACACAGGCATGTGGCAACGTTAGAGATAACCGAGGGGGCACACACAAAGCCAAAGATCCCCTGTATAGCCTTTAAGAGACTGGTGGGGCAAGTGATGTTAGCGAGCATCTATGAAGGTCGGTACAGCACACGAGGGGTTGGGGTGGCCAACACCACGCCCGGGCCGCCTTTGTCTCCCCAGTGGTGATGTTAACACGCCGCACCAGGTACTCATTTGAGGCCGAGTCGACCTAGGGGAGGAGACCCAGGACCGGCTCAGATAATGATCACCGGTGTTAGCCGTGAGCGGGAATCCAACTCGGCTTGGCGGGATCCCGTAGCGTGGTGTGCTAACCCCCCCCGCTACCGGCTCCCCACAACACAACAACCGCCATTCGCCACTAAGTGGCGGTGACGTCACCACGACGCGTGTGCCAGGCCATGTGCACCTTGAGGCCACGTGAAGTGTCAAACGCCCACGAGCAGGAGGTCACGGGGCAGACCCAGGTGCCACGCGCACACACACAAAGATCCCCCATATAGCCTTAACAGACTGTAGGGGGAAGTGCTGTTAGCGCGCACCTATGAAGGCCGGAACGGTACACGAGGGGGTGGGTGGCCAGCACCACGCCCGACCGCCTTTGTCTCCCTAGTGGCGATGTTTACACACCGTACCAGGTACTCATTTGAGGCCGAGTCGACCTACGGGAGACCCGGGACCGGTTCAGATAATCGTCACTGGTGTTGGCTGCGAGCGGGAATCGAACCCGGGTCGCCGGGTTCATAGCGCAGCGCGCTAACCGCTACACTATCGCTCCCCACACAAACACGCGCACACACACACGCGCCAAAACCTGTGGCCAGGTAGACGGGGTAGAAGACCCAGCTGAGGAGCTGCAGCAGCAGCAGGGCGTTCAGCTCCCAGGCGGCGACGGCGAGGCCGCTGGCCGCGCCCGAGCCCGCCAGGCCGATGAAGTGCTCGCTGCCGATGTTGCTGACGAAGAGCGACGCGCCCACGGGCAGCCAGGACATGGCACGCCCCGCCAGGAAGTAGCCGCTCACGCTGGCCCGGTTGGAGCGTCGCATGGCCCACAGGCCGACCGCGAACACCAGCACGAAGTAGAGGCCCACGATGGCGATGTCCACGCTTTCCAGTCGCTCGGCCATGGCCACGTGCAGGGCCCCGGCGGCCGCACTGCCGTACGCAAACTCGGCCCTCCTGGCGAGCGCCCGAGCTCCTGACTTGTTGGGTCTAGAGTTCTCAGTCTGCCTCTCTGTGTCGCTCGGCTTGTCCGCCCGTCTCTCTGGGTCTCTATCCCTGCGTATTCTCTCGGTCTGTGTATCTCTCTCTCTCTCTCGATCTCCCCCTCGTCTCTTTCTCAGGTCTCTCACTCTCGGTCCCTCTGTTGTGCTCTTGTGGAATGTGTGGGCGAATGGTTGTGTCCCTTTGAGTTGAAAACAAATTAAATATAAGTTGTGCTACAGAAAAATATATACAAATATAAATACGTGTTATCTTTACGCGTGGCAATACATAAGCTAAATTAGCTGGAACATAAACGCACGATATTTAACAATTCCATTTCTTTGAATAGTTTTGAATACTAACGACAGAAAAGTAAACAACTGTCTCGCTTTCTATTAAGTCTGTGTTCCTGCAATCACCAACCTCACCACCACTTTTACCCAGGCCCAGTAAAGGACCAAGAAAATCTCACCCTACTCCACAACAACACCCGCTCAATCTCTCCAAAAATCCACCACGACTGGGGAGGGGGGGGGGGTGTGCGGCCCTGCCGCTGAATATCACTCCGCCTTGGTGCCAACGAACTCTACAGACCCGTGCTGAAATTCATCCCCCTTGAAATCAGTGGACCGGGTAAAGACTCATTAGGCTCGTGCGTGCGTGCATCTGCCCGTGTGTGCTTACACATGCGTGCGTGTTTAGGGCGAGGATCACAATATAAAATCTTCCTCTGTCCTAAAACAAACAACAACAAAAACGACAGAACAAATCACTTAAAAAAAAGTGCTTTTATTCGTTCGGGGGAAAAAAAGCGTCGCATTCACAAGATGCGCAAGTCCTCCGAAGCGAGACGAACGCACGACGCAAGCGACCATTGACGGATCGCGAGGTGGGGAATAAAGCAACAACAAAAAAAAAGGTGGCCCTACAATTACTCGCCATCACTGCTGGTGGAAGGGCCTCCCACTAGAGGGGAGCTCCGGACAGAGAAAGAGAGCAGTCCCACTTCGAGGGCACCGTCGCCTGCTCAACCAACGCTGGCCGGATGGAAACAAATGTTGCCCTTTACTTTGATGAGCAATACCAGAATTATCCACTGGTGCTGCTGTCCCCCTTCTCACCGGTTCCTAAAATACCCAATTGACGCTGCCCTCTTTGGCAAATCCTCGGGTGTTGCGTGGCCAACCAAACGCTTCGGTTCGGCAAGTAGCGACGAGGACCTTGCGTGCCACGAGGAAGTGGCAGAAGATCTTCCGCTTCTCGGAAGGCGTGTGAGTACCCACGCTTTACCCCGACCGCACACGAACCAGCCGACCTGATCGAATAAGGTTGGGGGGGGGGGGGGGGAACATTTTCGGGCAGCGAACATTGCACACCTTGGCACACGCAGGCCCCGGCGCCTGTCGCGACACGCAGTTTTACCCCATTACACGTGCGAACGCCATTCCTCGGGCGGTAGTTTTGCGCGACCTGCCCGTGCATCGCGCACTGCACCGGCGTCATTATTAAAAGCATGGCGAGCGGCACGTCCTGTCCCAGGGTGAGGAAGCTAGGGGCTACGAAAGCAAAATCAGCCACACCCCTGACCTGCAGAGGCCTGTTCTCCAGAGTACCTTGCGGCCGATGGGGGAGGGGGGGGGGCAGGGAAGAGTAGCCATCAAAAGTTATCCCACAACTTGGCCACCACCGTGAGAACTGTCTCTTGCTCTCCTGACTATGTTTATATAGTCTCCCTCTCTCCACCCCCCCGATCCCTTGCTCTCTTCCATCTTCATCCCATCCACCATTTCCTGCCTGCCACTCCATGCTGGCATCTTGAGGTCACTGGCTGGGTAAATGGCTGGGCGAGCACATGGCTGCCCTGGGTAAGTTGGCAAGCGGGTGGGTGGTTTATTGGCTGGGCAGGTGGCTGGACGGGAAAGTAGCTGGCCGAAAGGGTGGGTGGGTGGGCGACTGGGTGGATGCATGGCCGCAAAGGTGGCTAGTTAGAGAAGGTGGCTGGCAATAAAGATCTAAAGACAAGTTGTTAGTGTTGCCAGGGACGCGCTGCTGGCCGCAGCCACGAGAGGTTACGGGCAAAGGTCGGAGACCATCGGAAATGGGAACGGTGGGCGGGCGGAACAACGCACACCCTGGCTATGCCAGGAATAAAAGTTGTGTTTTTTCCTTTTGGGGACTTCAACAGAAAGGCAGATTCCAAGAGTTGCCCAACACTTTGAAGACACAAACCTGTGCCAAAACACACCAAAGTATTTTTCACCCGTTCCCAAAACTGGCAATTAAATACTAATTATATATATACACATGACGAAGATTAGCTATCCAAGAATGCACGCGTGTGGTTTATTATTTATTTAAACATCTATAAATTGTTATGACACCGCTAACTCGCCATTAAAGCGAGAATCCCGCGTCATGGTCATGTGACTGCCGGAGTGGGTTGTTTTGTTAGTTGCGCGCGTGCGCGGTCGACGAGACGATGAGAAATGCGACGGTCCCCCCGAGCCTACTCCGCGCTCTCACGTCACGTCGCTACTCGCCGCCGTGCACAGCGGCCGCGCGGTGCAAGGCGCGTGAAGAGAATCCGGTGTGGCAGAGATTAACGTCACCCAGGAGCGTCCACTGGCACTACCGGAGGCGGACAGGTAGCCGTCAGGACAAAAATGCACTTCCATTATTTGGGCAACGCTTCGATGAATTTGTCCCAGTTGTAAATTATAATGGAGAGACCCGAACAGCGATACGACTTCAGTCTACAGTTTCGTTTGAAATTGGATCAAAATCGATGAGAGTTATAGCACTCTCAACGTTAAAGGTAGGTTGGGGCAGAGCCACAGGGGGGGATGGGGGGGAGCTCAGTCCCCCCTGAAATTTTGGGAAAGTCGGTAAACGGGATAACCGGATATCCGGCTGCTGCAAAATGCTGCAGGCTGCCACCTCGTGCTGCCCTGCAGGCTGCCACCTTGTGCTGCCCTGCAGGCTGCCACCTCGTGCTGCCCTGCAGGCTGCCACCTTGTGCTGCCCTGCAGGCTGCCACCTTGTGCTGCCCTGCAGGCTGCTTGAGCGGCAGCCTTTCGAACTTATCGAACTTATCAGCCACGTCAGCGGCTCAGACCTATTAATAAACTCCGCGTTCAAATCCAATAAAATTAGTTTTATACATTTGTGGCGCCCATTGGAAAACATTATACTGGATGTCTCAAAATATTGAAGTCAGCCCCCCCAAAGTTAAAATCCTGGCTCCGCTCCTGAAGGTAGGACAGATTTATGGACAGAGCCGATGCTTTAAACCTTTGTTTAAACCTTAGTTGGAAAGCGTAAATATATAATTTTATTCAAATTGTGTTGATCGGCGTTACGTCGTGAGACAGAGACATGTCAATTCGGACCTCTCGCAGCAAGGCGTGGCCCCAGCTCGACTGAGAGGCCCATCAACGGAAGTGTCAAACACCTGCAGGATCGGACCGTGCTTGCCCAGCTGCATCGACTTCTGGTTGAGCTCATCACACACAAAGTGCTTGCCACAAATGAACCACAAAGCCTCGCTGATCTCGTCAAGGAGCATACACCATCATCACGCGAGCTCCGGTGGTCACCCCTCGCAGCAGCAGTAGCTTTTGGCTCGGCCATCGAGACGGTCACTGCATCGCGCGCTTGCAGACGCGCTTCTGCGGCCGTCTGGAACGCTCTTCCTTCCGATATTAGGAAGCCGCTGGAGCTATGCACTTTTAAATGTAGATTGAAAACCGACTTCTTTGGAAGTGGTTCGTGATTAGTTTGTAGTTCTTCCCCCACACCTCCGATTAGCACGGTTGGCTACGTACGGTGCGAAAGAAGTTCAACGTCCGCACCTACATACAAACCTGCTCGTGGGATTCATAAAGTGGCACCCCGCACTTTTCCACGCATCCTCGCTATCGAGATTATCGTCAAATGCCAAAATCAAATCGACATCTTTAAAAAAAAACACTCAAGGTGGGAGTTTCTGGCAAATTAAAGGAATTAGACCATCGACTCACTGCACTTGAGAGGGATCCCGGCTTAAATCAGGGGTTGGGTGAAAACCCAGACTCAGGATTTCGTTGGCGCCAGCGCAGTGTCCGACTCCCGAGCGACCGTGCCAAGCTGTACGCGTCGCGCAAATCAAATGCTTCGCATCAGTCGGGATTTGTTTTCATGGGACTCTTGTAGTGGGCACAAATCTCTGCACCACCCTAGCAAAAAAAAACCTACAAGAAAACTGCACAGCCTCGGTGATCGCGGTGTAGCCGGCTGGCTGACTGCCACACCATGCGCTGGGGTAAAGGAAAAATTGGCAATCGGCTCGACTTCTTACAAGTCCATAATATAGGGTTATTTTTTTTTATAGCGTTAAACTTCTTACAAGAACTGCCCGCCATACAAGACCCCAAGGCAGGCAGAATGTCATAAACAAAGTCCTTCAGCATCCCGAGACGCCTTCGTCGTGGTCACATGCTCGCGGCGGACTTCTTCCGCAAGATTTGTTCCTTTCCGCGTGCGCGCGCGATTGCACCCAGCCCACAGTCTGGCCAAGGCTCCGCGCCCGCGAGTCCTGCGGCTCGCTGCCGAGCAGCAGGACAACGCGCCTCCTCCCACAATCGTTGCTGCTGCGCCTTCCCGGTGTTCCGAAGCCACTCAGGACCGCCACCTTTCTGCCACAAGCTCGCCCGTCGCTACTTGCCGAATTGAATCGTTTGGTTGGCCACGCAACCCCAAGGATCGTGATTTCTAAAAGAGAGCATGGTTAAAAGCGGGGGGTGGGGGGGGGCGGCAAGCACCAGTGGCGAATTTTTTATTCGATAAACGTGGGGCAGCACCAGCGGCGAATTCTGGTATTGCTCATCAAAGTAAAGGCCAACATTTGTTTTGATCTGCAGTGCCTGGGTAGCCATCGCATATGGGGCAGTGGGACACGCCATTTATTTTACACGGCACATTGGTCCGGGGATGGCGCCATCGTGAACGATGTATTTGCTCCTGCTAAATTCGGGCCGCAATAAAAAAAAGGGATGCATTTTTTGTTTTATTTATAAATACACACACACGCGGACGTCTCGAGCAGACGACACGTGCAAGCCTCGTTGCCAAGCCTATCGTTCTGGCGACCTCCTTCAAAATGCGCCCGACTCCGTCAAAATTGGGTTTCTCGAATTTTCCATCGCGGGGATTTAACGCCGCCACGACGGGTGACATTTGCGCGCTGCGGCAGCGTCGTCTAGACAGAAGGATCGGGCGGCTGTTCAGAAAGGCCCTCACCGTCCGCAACAACAACAACAACAGCAGCAGCAGGGAAGGGAGGGAGGGAGACCGCCTCTCGAACCTAACAATGTGCCGAGCAGACGTGGCGGGTGCGGCGATGTTGGGGGAGTTAAGGTGCACACACACACACTGCGCAACGAACCCCGGCGACCCGAGATTGCCACTCACGGTCAATAAACCCAGCGACGATTGTCCGAGCCGGTCCTGGGCTTCCCCTAGGTCGACTCGGCCTCAAATGAGTACCTGGTGCAGTGTGATAAAACAGTGACGCTCGGGAGACAAAGGTGGCCGGGTGTGATGCCGTGCCGGCTATTATTAGGTGCTCACTAATTTTTGCCCAACAGTCTGACAAGGCTATACCGGGGGATCTTCTTCTTTGGGGGGTAGTGAAGCACCCAGCTACAACATTTGTAAAGGGGGGGGGGGAGGGATTTGCGAAATAAGTACAAAAAAGTAGATTTTATATAAAGTACTATTTTAATTCATTTTATTAAATGCATATAAAATGAAGAAAACTACTTTTTATGTTTACAATTTTGCATCGATGAAAATAACAAATCTGAAAACAGCCATCCAGAAATTATTTAAGTGGGGGGGGGGGGGTGAGGAGCTCTCCCCATCTCTAACCCCGGCGTTTGCATGAAAAATGAATGCAAGTCAAAAACTAAAGTTGATGATGTCACACGGACATTGTCCAGACTCGCATCACGTTGTTATTTTTTTGCGCGTGGTTTCTGTGTTTTTTTCCCTTTCAGGCCGGTTTGCCAAATAAAAACCAAACCCAAAAGCAACAATGTAACAACAATGCAGGGTGCAGCCCTTTTGTTGAATCCGCTGTTAGTGACGAGGGTCTTGCACCCTCTGCCCACCACCAACCACACCGTTCAACGTTTTGTGACCATACTTCACCACCCTGGTCAATGCGGGAGTGGTGAATAATAACGCAGCGAGCACTGGGTGATGATGGGAAATGTCATAATCACCTTCGTCCTGGAATAAACGATGCCCAATGAGATGAACGATTTCAAAACAGTGTTTTTTTTCTTCCACAAACAGGTTAATTCGTGCAATAATTTGATAGCGTTAGCTCACATTATTATTGTGTAACCTCCACACCACCTCATACAAAACCCACGGCCACACACAGCCAACCCACGCATTAATTCCGGAATGTTCTCTTGGCCAAAATTGAAACACAAATCACGATTTCCCCCACCACGAGCGATTAAAATGCAAGCGATTTTAGCCATTTGCGCTAATTATCACCGGGAGAATTATGAACAATGCTCTTGGCGATTGGTGGGGGGGTCACTGGAAATGTTTGCACGTTACTGAAATTTTGTGTGTACGTGCGCGTGTACAATGAGACACCCCGTGTGAACTCGAGTCGCAGCACCCTGCAGCGCAACACAAGACGACAACAGAACGATACGATTCGCACGAAAACTCAAAACAATGGAGTTGCTTATGCAGGACGAGGCTTTGGAACACAGCGACGCAGAAGCAGTCCTTCCTGTAATTATCCCCAAATGTCATTATTGTTATTATTGAGTGGCAGATGGTACACAATTTACAGCCTAAATATATCCCGTGCAATTAAAACTATCGTGTGCAATTACAATGCATTCAGTTTCGGTTACGATAAATGAAATTTGATGTTATTACCAATAGTAACTGCAGATGTATGCGAGTGTGCACACCAATGCTAACGATATGCAATTATTCCGTTTTAAATGTAATTTATACCAAACATTTTTTTTAAGCAAAGTGAAAGTTAACCCGCATTAAATTGCAATTATTTTAAGAATCACGCTCATTCAATTGACCCGCGATTGTCGTCATTCATTGGGTCACTTTGTAAAACAACGTTTTAATAACATTTCTCATTAATCAACGGGCACGAGACGACCTGTTTGCTCAGTCACATAGCCCACAAAGCGCACGTACACGCACACACACACACGCACACACATACACGTGTACTTCTTGTTCGTTAAGCTTACCGTGTTAGTGCTGTTACGGCCTGGGTGCTTAACGTGGCTGGGGAATTGAGGGTTGCTGGCTGGCTGGCATGGGGGGGGGAGGCGCGCAGGTAAACGCAGGTAAACGGCAGAGGAGGGTAGAGATGAGTGGAGATTGAAGAGTGGGAAGAGCGCTTTGGTGCCAGCAACAGAGGGCACACACAAAGCCTTACCTACGAATCGACCGCGAGGTGACGCTGCCCCTTTAAATACGAGTGCCCCCCCCCACCCAACCCCTAGCCCCGCCCACCACCCATCCCCCACCCACCCACCGGCACCCCCGCACCCCCTATAGGAATTTTCCACTTGCAAAGCCGGGCCAGGAGGGGAGGGCAAGGGGGGGGCGGGCTCTTCCGCCACCGGAGGACGTTGACGTCGTGGTGGTGGTTGGTTGGTGGTGGGGGTTGTTGTTGCTGTTGTGCCTTCGGTAGACGTCTACCGCTCCCAGGTGAATCTTCCAGAAGTGGGAATTTCAAGCATCACCACCCCCACCACCACCCCTTCGGGTCCTTCGTCTGCATCCAACACGGTCACGGGATGGGTGGCTTGTTTGGCCACACTAGAAACTAAAGCTTTAAGTCAAGTGTAAAATATGTTCATAATAGAGGGGGCGGGGGGGTTTGTTTGGGTCAGATCGCGTAAATATTTTTTTTGTTTAAAACCTCTCTCATGGATGATATTGGGTCGCGAAAGCTTACGTGTTAAACTGTAAAAAAAAATGTGTTTTGTTGTTGTAAAGATAGGGGGTGGGTCGACAGTAATCTCCAGGACAATACATATAAATTAATCAGGACTGCGCTAATTTATTACAGTTGTCACGAGTTCCATTTTGAGGGTAAGTCAACAGCAGTTGTCCTGTAGATGGAATCGCGTCCACCCATAGGAATGTGGAATTTCCACCACTGCCTCGGGGCTGTAAAGAGGAATTGAACGCTGGCTCAATGCCCACCTGAGCAGGTAGTCTACTGACGATTTGTTTAACCGGTACAGCTGTAGCGGAGAATTTCGACAACACGTGGAGACATGTAAGGATTAGGGGCCGTCCATAAATGACATCACGCGATTTTGGACGATTTTTGACCCCCCCCTCCCCCCACTCGAGCTTGGAGGCATACACGTTTATTCACAACCCAACGGGGTAACTATATAACCACTCACAGGATAACGACACAAGGTGGTGACCACCACTGATAACTACTAAACCACTCGACGGGATACTATATATAGTGGTAACCACCACGGGGTAACTATACAATTGTCTGGTCCACGAGAACTAAGACCGAAGAGTTCCATTCCCAGAGACAGCCACGATCGGGCTCGGGACTCGGCTTTGATTGGCCACGGCATAGCCGGGCTCCGCCCCTGGCCACGCCCCCTTCCAGATCCTTCTCGAAGACTCTGGCCCCTACATCACGTGCCCTCTCGGGTACCATGTCCTCGCCTGACCTCTCTCTCACCGTCACCAGGGCTATGCCCCTTAGAGGGCCCTTCCATGGCATACTCTGGTGTTAGAGAGAGGATGAGCACATACAGTACCACTCTTCACTCAGTACTGTCGCTACACTATAGTGACACCATTTATGTCACTACATATGTAGCATTAAGTCGTCGTCGTCATAATAAGAATCCATAATGTAGAATTCGTAACAAGCACCGTTTTTATTTGATCATCAAGAGGCACGGGAAATCACGGAGCAAGTGGGAGGGCTGACAAAAAACCGGCGTCCACAATTTCCCAAGCTCTGCGGTCCTATACTGGGATGTTTGGCCAACTACATTAGTCAGTGTTGTATACACGTGGGAGGAAACCGGAGTAAACCCGTGCCCACGAGGGGGTTGGGGATAACACTCAATACCCGTACAGATGGAAATTAATCCTTGCTCTGCTGCCATCACACCCTGGGCAAGCCAGGGATATTGCGACCTCGACTCGGGAGGGAGCTTCGCGGCATTTGTGTGTGATGCACCAACCCTCGGTGCCTCCACAGGCGTGCCTGCATTAGGGGCGTGCAGCGTAGCCACTAGCGCGTGCATGGTGCGTGGTTTACTGCACGTGGTATGGGGAGCGGTGGTGCAGCGGTTAGCACGCTGCTGTGCCACAAACCCGGCGCCCCGAGTTCGATTCCCGCTCACGGCGAACACCAGTGACGGATTATCTGATACCGGTCATGGGCCTCCCCTAGGTCGACTCAGCCTCAAATTACTGCCTGGTGTGGTGTGTGAACATCACCACTGGGGAGACAAAGGCGGCCGGGCGTGGTGTTGGCCACTCCACCCCCTCGTGTGCCGTTGCGGCCTTCAGAGGTGCTGTTGCTCGCTAACAGCACTTGCCCCAGCATTCTGTTCAGGCTATACGGGGATCTTTGTCTTTAACTGCACGCGGTTTGTGGTGTCCCGCAGAAGCACGTGCACTTGTTTCCGACATCAGCATGGCGCAGTGGATACTCTTTTGTGGACTGTATCACAGCAAGAAGGGCCTGGGTTAAATTCTCAATTCGGGTGAGTGAAATGTGCACCCTACCACCCCGGTTTCCTTCCTGAGAAATATATATTTTTTAAAAAGTGATGCAAAATCACAGATGTCATCTCAATGCTGAAAACAATGACCTGAAAATAACTCATTGTGTTTACACGTAGCAACATCGCCCATAAGGGGTGCCACGGTGTCTGTTGCGTGTGGGGGCAAAGTGTGTGTTGATGTGAGATTAGGTTTGGCAAGGGAAGACCTCGTGATGTGTGTTGATACAGTGAGGGAAAAAAGTATTTGATCCCCTGCTGATTGTGTACGTTTTGCCCACTGACAAAGAAATGATCAGTCTATAATTTTAATGGTAGGTTTGTTTGAACAGTGAGAGACAGAATAACAACAACACAATCCAGAAAAACGCATGTCAAAAATGTTATAAATTGATTTGCATTTTAATGAGGGAAATAAGTATTTGACCCCTCTGCAAAACATGACTTAGTACTTGGTGGCAAAATCCTTATTGACAATCACAGAGGTCAGACGTTTCTTATAGTTGGCCACCAGGTTTGCACACATCTCAGGAGGGATTTTGTCCCACTCCTCTTTGCAGATATTCTCCAAGTCATTAAGGTTTTGAGGCTGAGGTTTGGCAATTCGAACCTTCAGCTCCCTCCACAGATTTTGTATGGGATTAAGGACTGGAAATTGGCTAGGCCACTCCAGGACCTTAATGTGCTTCTTCTTAAGCCACTCCTTTGTTGCCTTGGCCGTGTGTTTTGGGTCATTGTCATGCTGGAATACCCATCCACGACCCATTTTCAATGCCCTGGCTGAGGGAAGGAGGTTCTCTCCCAAGATTTGACGGTACATGGCCCCGTCCATCGTCCCTTTGATGCGGTGAAGTTGTCCTGTCCCCTTAGCAGAAAAACACCCCCAAAGCATAATGTTTCCACCTCCATGTTTGACGGTGGGGATGGTGTTCTTGGGGTCATAGGCAGCATTCCTCCTCCTCCAAACACGGCGAGTTGAGTTGATGCCAAAGAGCTCCATTTTGGTCTCATCTGACCACAACACTTTCACCCAGTTGTCCTGTGAATCATTCAGATGTTCATTGGCAAACTTCAGAAGGGCATGTATATGTGCTTTCTTGAGCAGGGGGACCTTGCGGGCCCTGCAGGATTTCAGTCCTTCACGGCATAGTGTATTACCAATTGTTTTCTTGGTGACTATGGTCCCAGCTGCCTTGAGATAATTGACAAGATCCTCCCGTGTAGTTCTGGGGGATTCCTCACCGTTCTCATGATCATTGCAACTCCATAAGGTGAGATCTTGCATGGAGCCCCAGGCCGAGGGAGATTGACAGTTCTTTTGTGTTTCTTCCATTTGCGAATAATCGCACCAACTGTTGTCACCTTCTCACCAAGCTGCTTGGCAATGGTCATGTAGCCTATTCCAGCCTTGTGTAGGTCTAGAATCTTGTCCCTGACATCCTTGGAGAGCTCTTTGGTCTTGGCCATGGTGGAGAGTTTGGAGTCTGATTGATTGATTGCTTCTGTGGACAGGTGTCTTTTATACAGGTAACGAACTGAGATTAGGAGCACTCCCTTTAAGAGTGTGCTCCTAATCTCAGCTCGTTACCTGTATAAAAGACATTTGGGAGCCAGAAATCTTTCTGATTGAGAGGGGGTCAAATACTTATTTCCCTCATTAAAATGCAAATCAATTTATGACATTTTTGACATGCGTTTTTCTGGATTTTTTATTGTTATTATAGACTGATCATTTCTTTGTCAGTGGGCAAACGTATAAAATCAGCAGGGGATCAAACACTTTTTCCCTCTGTACAAGAAAGTCTGACATCTGTGATTGCCAACAAGGGTTTTGCAGCCAAGTACTAAGTTATGTTTTGCAGAGGGGTCAAATACTTATTTCCCTCATTAAAATGCAAATCAATTTAAAACGTTTTTGATATGTGTTTTTCTGGATTTTTTTATTGTTATTCTGTCTCTCACTGTTCAAATAACTCTACCATTAAAATTATAGACTGATCATTTCTTTGTCAGTGGGCAAACGTATAAAATCAGCAGGGGATCAAACACTTTTTCCCTCTGTACAAGAAAGTCTGACATCTGTGATTGCCAACAAGGGTTTTGCAGCCAAGTACTAAGTTATGTTTTGCAGAGGGGTCAAATACTTATTTCCCTCATTAAAATGCAAATCAATTTAAAACGTTTTTGATATGTGTTTTTCTGGATTTTTTTATTGTTATTCTGTCTCTCACTGTTCAAATAACTCTACCATTAAAATTATAGACTGATCATTTCTTTGTCAGTGGGCAAACGTATAAAATCAGCAGGGGATCAAACACTTTTTCCCTCTGTACAAGAAAGTCTGACATCTGTGATTGCCAACAAGGGTTTTGCAGCCAAGTACTAAGTTATGTTTTGCAGAGGGGTCAAATACTTATTTCCCTCATTAAAATGCAAATCAATTTAAAACGTTTTTGATATGTGTTTTTCTGGATTTTTTTATTGTTATTCTGTCTCTCACTGTTCAAATAACTCTACCATTAAAATTATAGACTGATCATTTCTTTGTCAGTGGGCAAACGTACAAAATCAGCAGGGGATCAAATACTTTTTTCCCTCACTGTACACCTGTGGAGCGTGGCGATATTGTAGACTAGCTTGCTTGCCCGTCCAAGGACGGTTGTATATTGCAGCAAA